AATAAATATTAAAATTCTCTCTCTCTCTAAAAAAAAAAAAAAGAAAGAAATTACTTTCTGTGTTCTGTGGTCATTTCACTGTTCTACTTTTCTTAGCTTCTATTTCTCAGCGAGCCCATCCCACCAAAGGGAAACCCATTCCCTGGCCTGTGCAGGGAATGAGGCACTGCACCTGACCTGGAATTGGGGATTTAACCTAGTTCTTTACTGCTGAGTTACATCCTAGTCCTATTTATTTTATTTATATTTTATTTACTTATTTTATATTTTAATTTTGAAAGAGGGTCTTAACAAGTTGCTTAGGGCCTTGTTAATTTGCTGAGGCTGGCCTCAAACTTGTGACTGTCTCAGTCTTCTGAGTCACTGAGATTACAAGGTTTGTACACAATTTATATTTTTTATACACTGTGGGTTATTTCCTTAGCTTGTGTTGATTTTATTTGTTTTTTGGTGATGCTGGGAATGGAACTCAGTGCCTTGTGAATGCTTGTCAAGTGTTCTACCACTGAGTTATATCCCTAACCCTTTGGCTACTATACTATTTTGACAGATTACCACCAATCTTAAGAACAAAAGAAAAACAAAACACTGTTCACCATCTGTGTACTGGTTCTGTTCTAGGGCCCTTCTGTAACACCGTTTACAACACTTCTCCATTTCTTGCTTTCTTTGAGCCCAGAGACCAGCTGGAGATGAAAGCTTAGGGTCTTTACAGGCCTTTTCTGAGTTCACAGCCTGTTCTGGGCATTAATGTGGTTTTCTAAATCCCCCAATTGTGCTTCAGAATATCCTGATTTTCCCCCAAGAAAGTCTCTTACCAGCTTTTCTTCCTGGGCTGCAGGTGGCTGATCAATGCCCCAGGTGCCTGTGGAGGGTCCCAGTCACTTTACAATGCTGTTAAGCCTACTGCTTTCCTGCTCTAGGATCTGAGTTAGGAAGAACAGACATGTATGTACACCTTGCATCGGTCCTTTTGGGAGTCCCAGACAGGCTAGAATAAACAACAATTATTTTTTTTTTTTAATATTTATTTTTTAGTTTTAGGTGGATACAATATCTTTATTTTATTTTTATGTGGTGTTGAGGATTGAACCCAGGGCCCCGCGCATGCCAGGTGAGTGTGCTACTGCTTGAGCCACATCCCCAGCCCAACAACAACAATTCTTAAGTAAGATCTATTTATTACACACCCTGGAACAAGAGACCATGGTCCCAAGATGAGAACACAAGCTGCCTTCTTTAAAAATGCCAGGAACAGGTTGAGACACAGGCAACTAAGAGTACCACAAAACCTTCCTACCATTTTAAAGTTGCCTTTTTCTTTTTTTGTGGTCCTGGAGATTAAACCCAGGGCATTATGCATGCAAGGCAAGCACTCTACTAACTGAGCTATATACCTCAGCCCTTAAAATTGCCTTTTTCTTGATTCATTGTTTGCTTGTTGTCAAGGTTTAACAATTTTCTAGATTTCTGACAGTTTCTGCTTTTTGAACATTTATGTAGAGGAGCAAGTGTTTGGGGCTGCCTATTCTGATGGCTCCACAGTGGCTTTTAAAACATGAACCCCCATTAGCCTATCTCTCCCCCACCAAGGTGCAGAGCAAGGCTCTGGGATTCTCTCACCACTCTCTTCTCACCACTCCCAGCAGGGATCCTTGGCAGTCTGCTTAACATTCTGCCTCTGCTCAGGCTGATGAGCAGGCCTGCTCCTTGGGGCCACTTCTGGGGACCATTCTCTACCTGCTCTTCACTTCTTTTTAGAATCTGCTCTCTTCCACACGTGCAGGACTCTCCTACACATGTATACCCTTAGCCTAATCATCCCCATCCACACAGGGTCTTGCCAGAGTAACATAGCCACTAACTGACCCAAACAAAAGAAGCAAAAGGTCCACATGAGGGAGCTGTCCCCCCCAGCCCCCCCAAAAAGTTTTCCCCCCAAAGTTCTCTCTAAAAGGGTTCTCAGGGCAACAGGAGCAGCTGGGCAGTGTGAATACCACCAGGAAGGTATAGGAAAGAATCCTGAGGCAGGGACTGCCACCAGTCTGGTCACTGGGCTTAGAAGGGGTCAGGGCTACAGCAGACAGCAAAGGACTCTGATAACCATCATGTTATAGCCCTCTGTCTCAGGAAAGAAGTCAGAAGCCTGTTCAGGACACCAGGGGCCAGGCCAGGTCAACTTACTTTCTGATGGTCAGCCTCAGCCCCTTGAGTCCCTGAGGCCTGATGCTCCTAGGGGTGAGAATAGGGTGACATGGACATCATCTCCCCAGAATGAGGACACCAGTAGGAAACATGTTCCCAGTACCTGGTTGCTAATGGTGAGGGTGTATGGCTTCCAGCTCATTAATGCCAAAGTAGAGGGGCCCAAAGACTAAAGAACCAGGGTGGGTCACAGGAGGAGTATCACTCACACATGTCTGTGATACAGGGGTCCAAGGGGATGGTCCTGAAGCTGTGGGCTCCATTTCTGCCTCCTAGGGGCAAGTTTTGAGGCTGGAAATAGCTGGAATCTGAAAACCGGCAAGGACAGAGGTGAGTGTGCAAAGATGTCAGCTACAGGGATCCATCCTCTCACCAGGCAGAAGTCTCTTACTCTACCCCTGCAGCCAGAGACCTGAAAAGGGCCTGAGGTTGCCAGGCATCAAAGACTAATGCTATGTTCCCTGATTCTAGACCCAAGAGGAGAGACAGTCAGCCATACGGACACAGAATCATGAGCCAGGGTTGCATGAGTCCTTGAACTCTGAAGACATTTCCCTACAGGGCTCAGGCCCACCATTATAAGAGGAGAGCAATAGTCACAGAGCCTACTTCCTGACACAGTGCCATAAAGGTGAATGCATAAGACCTATCTATTGCAGGGAAGCAGCAGACCCAAGATTGATTGGCCAGGGGCTATATACATACATATGATCATTATGTGCTAGTGCCTACCAATCCTAGCGGTTCGGTTGTCCCAGATGCACTCAGCAACAGCCACCGGGTATTCCCATCTCCATCTACCAGGGATGTCCTCCCACTTAACTCACTGATCTTGCTCAATTCTCTCAGTTCCCTTTCCCTGTTGGCATTCCAGGGTTCACCTCCTGAGCAAGTCTGTTAGGAGGCAGTAACACCCCCTATTTTGTGAAGATATTCAAACTTGGGCTCATTTTCAGTCCTAACCACTCTCTCTGGGCAGGAGATGGGACACTCCCACCTGAAGACACACAGGCTTCTCACATGGACTAAATTACTGAATTACTAAATTACCACTCCTAGAGGCCCACCAGGATGTGGGGCTTGACAAACTTTATTTCCTTACTGACACTGCACTCCCAATAGGTACTGCTGATTCCCTGCCCCTCAGAAGTAGAGAAGGCAGACAGAAAAAGTTGGTAGAAACTCATATTGGAAAATGTCAACATATGACCTCGATTTCTCCTCTAGGATACACTTTTTCAGGATTTCTGAACATCCACTATATGCTAGAATCTGTTCTGGGGTTTTATGTGGGACACAACAGCAAACAATACCCTCATAAAGCTCACTAAGATATCATCACAGCAAATGCATCAGTGAAATAAAACAACTGCTCTGGTTAGCGGTAACAGGGAAGACAGGGACATTTTAACTAGAGTTGTCAGGAAATCCTCACCAAGAAAGTGACCTAAAGGTGAGAGATGGAGTATTGTGACACCGGGGAAGAGAAGTCCCAGGCAGAGGCAATGTGAATGCAAAGTCTGAGGAGGGCAGGGGCATGCATGTCAGGTCAGAGGAACAGTGGGGCAGCTAGTATATAGACAGAAAAATGAGGGAGCCGGGCAAAGGCACTGTAAGGGGTCCCATGGGCCTTGCAGTTGGGGTGCTGCCTGCACTCAGTGAGGCTATGCGGCATACAGGCTTTTGAAGGCTGCAGGTGTTTAGAGGATAACAGGGGAGCAGCCTCTCACTATTCTGTGAAAAAGCATAAACTCTGTCCTTGACAATGGTATTCTTTTCTGCCTTTCCTGGGAGAAGGGATATTCTGTTCCACATTGGGTTTAGATAGAGTCAAGGGGATATTGGTGAGGTGCAGTCAAGGGGACCTGGAAAGGATCTGAGAGGGGGTTTCTCTGAAGAAGGGTGGCTGGAGAAAGGTGCAAGGAGTAGGGATGACAGCAGACATCACCCAGGGCTGCTGGGTTGAGATCACAGAGGAAGGCACAACTGAGTGAGGATGCCAGAGAGCAAGTTTAGAGACAAAGCTTATGAGAGAAGACAAGGAGGTAAGGACAGAGCTCAGAGGGATGTCACTGGGGACAGACTGTTAGGAGGCACTAGTTGGCTGATGCAGTAAGGCTTTGGCTGCATTTCTAAATCAGGAGACAAAAAACAAAATGTCTCAAAAGATTAACTTGGAAGTGTGTGCAGAAGGATGGTATAAGATGAGACTCAGAGCAGGGAATACACTAAGGTTCCCATCCATTCAGCAGTAGATGCACAGCAGGAAACTTGAGAGGGAGTTATAAGACTGTCAGTGATGGTGTGTCTGCCTGCCCTGGGAGCAGATGCCCAGATTCCCTGGAAGGAATTTTCACTCTTCCCATTCATGGGGGAATTTAAATAATCTCCAACATTTATTCAGTACATTTTATTTTAAATTACCTTGAATTTTCATCATTGTTCTGAATAGGAGTTTTGAGTCACATAGCTCAACATTTAAAAGGTTTAAAGAAAAAGTTAAAAATGTCCCAGTCACTTGGTTCTCCTTTCCACTTTGAAATGTCCTTCCAGATTACTCTAGGCTTCACAAGCAAATACACGTATGCACTTGTTTTTTTTTTTTTTTTTTTCCTGTTTTAAAAAAATTACAAACGGTACCAAACTCGTCTGGCACTAATTTTACACGTTGCTTTTCTCTGTTTATTCTCAGTGGGATGTTCCCTAGACATGCGCTTAATCTGTGTTAGGCAGAACACTCTTTCCCCTTGTTCACATCCTACTTCCAAGACCCTGTAGATATGCTGCAGTAAATAGCACAAGGGACTTTGCATAAAGAACTAAGGTTACGGCATGGATTACCAGGGTGGACCCAATCTAACCACAGCCAAAGCTAGCTGGCAGATGTACACGGGCTCCTTCCAGGAGCCATGGGCTGCTCTGCCTGTCAGGCAGCAAAGAAACGACGAACCTGTATATGACAATCACAAAGCAACGGATTCTGCCAACTACCTGAATGAGCTTGGCAGCGGGTTCCCCTGGCTAAAGGCTGAATCTGACACTTGAAGAGACGCTCTAGCAGCAGGAACCGCAGGATGGGACCTGGCCGATTCCCCAGGCCCTTCTCCCACAATCACAGTTCCAAATTCTTCTCCCTCCCCAGAGGTCTCTCCACCTGGAGAGGACGCCCTTTACCGAGGGGCCGCCTGGGAAGACCGCCCGGAGAGGAGCGAATCCCGCCCCGTCCGGGTCCTGCGCACCTCTGACGTCACCGAGAGTCCCCCAATCCCCCCGCCCCTGGCCGACCCGGGAGTCCCGGGCACCGCTCAGCCTCACACCTTCTCTCGCTGCGCCCCAGCTCGCGCGCGCCTTGCCACTCGAAAACGCCTCGGCTCCCGGGCACAGTCTCCGCTGGGCCTTACGCCGCACACCCTACCTGAAGCTGCCCTCAGATCCCGGCGAGGCCAGGACCCTAAACTAGGCCGAGCCGACCCTTCCCCGCGCCCGCACTCCCACCGTCCCCCGCGCGGCCGCGCACCTCCGGGTCCCTCTGCCAGCGCCGCGCTAGATCCCCCCACGCCCACCACCTGACTCCAGGGACACCGAAGCACAGGCTCCACCCAGCGAACTCACCTCCCGGGGGATGCGCGTCCAGCTGGGTGGCATCGCCGCGGCACCCAGCGCCTCAGCCCGGGCTCGGAGGACTGAGAGTCCCGCCCTCAACTTCCCTCGGAAGCCCCGCCCCGATGGCGTAGCCGCTCTGCCCGGCGGGAGGCTGAGCAGACTCGGTGACTCCGCGCTGGACCGGAACTCTGCCCGGGTGAACCCGGAGCCGCTACAGACGTCGGCGGTCGGAGTGGGCCGAGCAAGGTGGCTGTCAGAAATGCAGAGAGAACTAGTACACATTCCCCAGCATTGCATCCGACTGGATCACAACGTACAGATGGCTGGGACCCAGCATGCGCGGCTGCCCGGGTTCAATCCCCAGGACCGGGGGCGACACAGAAAAAGCACGCAAGCAAAACCGTAAAGTGGAAGAAATACATAAGTAAACGGAAAGACTCAAATTCGTTCAGTAGATAGTATATACTCTTCTCTTCCTCCCACAGGGTCTCGCTAACTTGAGGGTTTCCCTAAATTGCTGAGGCTGACCTCGTACTTGCCATCTTCTTTCCCCAGTCGCTGGGATTACACGTGTGAGCCACCAAGCCAGGTCAGATAATGTATTTTCATGAGCATTTTTGTGAAACATTTACGAAGATTAATTATATACTGTTGAATTCATATTATTCACATAAATAATATGAATATTTTAGTATGACATATTAAACTTCTAAAATTAGGAGTAAATAATACAAAGTCTCACCAAAAAAAAAAAAAAAAAAAAAAAAAATGTGTAAGTTTACCTTAATTTTTTAAAAAAAAAAAAACATCAACTGGAAGATTACAGGCTATAAGCAATGAAAAATAAACACTTCATTCTTAAATCTCTGGGCGCCAGAATAAAGTGTATGTGTGTTTAAAAGCCTTATTTTATTATTATGAAAGACAAAGTCATTTATCTTCAGAAGTTAAAAAAGATCAATATCATTTTTTCCACCAGCAATAATCAACCATATAACGTAATTAAAAACTGAAATATCCTCCATAATAAAAACAAAAGGTATAAAATGCTTGGAAATGCAAATATATTGGAATGAATTGGCTTTCCATGCCTGTAGGTTGCACAGTGAATTAAAATTGATTGAAACTTTTTCAGAATTGCCTCCGTATTGAACATGTGCCTTTGTTGTTGTTGTTGTTCTTCCCTAAATAATACAGTATAATAACTACTTAGGTAGTGTTGGGTGCAGAGCAGGCTGAACTGTGTTGTCTGCAGGGCAGGCTGAACAGATGTTGGCTGCAAGATAGCCCACACACTCAAACCCCCCTCTATCTGGTCCTTTATCACCTGTTTGCCTCAAGTCTGAACATTCAACCCTGCTCAAGGCTGAACACTTAACCCCCTCTTGGGCCAACAAGGCAGCGTGCAGACTCAGAGGCCCCATTAGATTTGGGCTATAAAAACTCCCTCCTGCCAGGCCTCCCTCTCTCTTGCTATCTCTCTTGCTTTCTCTGTCTCTCTCCTGTGTGCGCTTTCTCTCTCTCTCTCTCTCTCTCTCTCTCTCTCTCTCTCTCTCTCTTTCTTTCCTTCTTTCCTTTCTCTTTCTTGCACTGCTGCAATAAAGATCTTTTGGTTGCTCCGAGTGTTGTGGTCACTTTCCTTTCAGGTAGCATTTACATTGTATTAGGTATTTTAGAGACAGGGTCCCCCTGAGTTGCCCAGACTGGCCTCAAACTGCCTCAGCCTCCAATCTGGGAGCCTATCTGGGAGGCCACCTGCGCTCCTGTGTCCAGGAGTGGTTGGGTGGATGCCCAGCATGGGCTCTCCAGAGCTCAAGTCCCAGAGGTAAGGGAGCCTGAGCTCAGCCTCCCCTGAGATGGAATCTCAGACAGGTGCCACAGAAGGCTGGGGAGGAAACGTGGGCCAGTAACCCAGGACAAAGACCAGATTCTTTTCTTGTTATACCACAGTAATACAGATATGTGTGTTCACATTTGAATATTGGTAACAATGAAAAATAAATCCAGGCTGGGCTCGGTGGCGCAAGCCTGTAATCCCAGCAGCTCAGAAGGCTGAGGCAGGAGGATCATGAGTTCAAAGCCAGCCTCCGCAAAGGCGAGGCACTAAGTAACTCAGTGGCACCCTGTCTCTAACAAAAAACAAAGATTGGGCTGGGGATGTGGCTTAGTGGTTGAGTGCCCCTGAGTACAATACCTGGTATCCCCCCCAAAACAACAACAACAACAACCAAATTCAGGAATCATTAACAAAAAAATGTGTGAGGGGGCTGGGGATATAGCTCAGTTAGTAGAGTGTTTGCCTTACATGCACAAGGCCCTGGGTTCGAGCCCCAGCACCCCCCCCACCAAATGTGTGAAAGACCTTTATAAAGTTATCATCACTATTTATTAAAGGATATTTAATTAATTAGCTAATTAAGTACCGCAGTCTGGCTGGGCACAAAATAGTCCAGCTGCCACCCAGCCTTGTAGGTTCCAACAGTAACCTTTATTCCCGAACTCTCACCGCCACTCTACACACACTTCCCGGGAATACACTGCCTCCACCGTCTCCGCGGGCCAATTCTCTCAGAACCCCGGGAGACTCAACTGGGGACTCCAAAGTAGCAGGCACCGAGGCAACAGGATCCGCCCTAATCCCAGAGCAGGGTCACCTTTCAACCATTCCCTCTAGCAAAATGCCAGGCGTCATTCCGACTAAACTGTGGCTCTCAACAATTAAGGACATTTAATTTCCCCCAGAATGCTCTACAGAACTCATGCAATTCTCACAAAAATTTTAGAAAAAATTCTTTTACATAGGAGACATTGCTAATAATGGCAAAGAATTGGAATAAGCTCACCAAAGCTCTCCATCGTGAGGCCCCACGGAGATGGTGGCCCAGTGTTCGGTTGTGGGATAGGGCTAGCCTCCTCCACTTACTCCCCAGCCTCCCTTAGGGCCACACCAAGCCCACCAGCAAGTGCTCTGGGCTCTTTCCTCTGTCCTGAGGCTGCTCGGTGTTTCTCCACCTCATCTGGCCCTTTCATCTCCCAGAGAGATCTTCGCACACACCTGAGTAAGGTCACATCACCCATGATTCACAACGACTGTCCCATCCTTAGAATGAAAGCAAACTCCTGACTAGTGTACAGCGTCCCGCAAGAGCTGGGCCTTCCTCCCTCTCCCCTGAGCTGACTATTCCACCTGCAGCACCAACGCGCCCACGCCTTTGTCCTGTACTGCGCTTTTCTCCACCAAAGGTCTATTGACCCTCCTGAAGCTACCTACCCACAAGGTAGCTCTGTGCCAACTTCGTTTGCCTACGTTTTTTCCTCACCACTGAGAGGTGTGCTTTGTGAGGACATTCCCTGTAGTTCTTTTTTTTTTTTTTTTAAGTTGTTGACGGACCTTTATTTTACTTATTTATATGTGGTGCTGAGACTCGAACCCAGTGCCTCACACATGCCAGGCAAGAGCTCTGCCACTGAGCCCCAGCCCCAGTCCCTCTTTAGTTTTATGCTGCCCCCTAGAACCGTGCCTGGGACACGAGCAGACCCGCCAACACTGGTGCAGGAGGCTCCTGCTAGTCGCGCGGTTCCTTCCCGGAGCCCCGCGGGCGGCGCCGCCCCGCCTCTCCCGGGAACCCCTCCCCTCCCCGGGAGTCCGCCCCGCCCCGCCCTTCCCCAATTCTCCGCCCCACCTCCGAGCGCGCAACGGAACTCTGCGTCCCAAGCGTGGTTCCCGGACGGAGTTCCACGTGGGACTCGGCCCGATGTAAATTTCGGCGGCCGCTCGGCGTATGGCGGTGAGCGGCGCGGAAGGGACGCCTGGGTGGCGGGGCTCGGGGCGGTCGGCGGCGCCCCGTGACTCTCCTGCTGCCTCCCTTTCTCCAGGCTCTAGGACGTCCTGCTCGGAGGGTGCCAGCAGCCCTGGAACCTGGTGCCGCTCGCGCGTCCCGCAAACCCCAGCTCCCGGGCCGGGGCCCCGATGCCCCGGGTCCTTCCGCCGTGGGTCTCCACTGGGCGCAACCCACGTGCGTGGCCGCCGCCTCCGGAGCGCACCCCGTCCGCGATGAAGGTGTGGCTGTCTCGAAGAAGCAAAAGAAGAAAACCCAGACCAGGGTCTCTGTGGCGAATGGAGGCGAGAAGGCCTCCGAGAAGCCTGCCGCAGAGGACTCTCCCCTAAGCTCCGAGGCCCAGGCGAGGGTGGGTTCTCCGGTGAATCTGGGAGCGAGTCTGCGAGTGGTGTGGTCCAAGATCTGCTGGGGGCGAGGGTGGTTAAGGCCTGGCGGGAAGTGGGGTGTGGCTTGCGGGGGGTGGTGGTGGGGGGTCCCAGTGCCTCTTGTAACAATTCATCACAGGCGGAGCAGCTGGCCCGGGAACTGGCCTGGTGTGTGGAGCAGCTGGAGCTGGGCCTCAAGATGCAGAGACCTACCCCAAAACAGAGTGAGGGTCCTTCACATATAGTTGGGGGGATGTGATAGTGACAGTGGTTCTGCAAGGGGATGTAATTGTTTTTGCGATAGGACGATAGGAGTTGAGCATACATAGTTACTAGTCGTTTGTGTGTTTTTAATATTTTTTTAGTTGTAGATGGGCACAATACCTTTATTTATTTTTATGTGGTGCTGGGGATAGAACTCGGTGCCTCACATGTGCAAGGCAAGCTCTCTATCACTGAGGCACAACCCCACTCACTTGTCCTTTGTTTTTATCTGCAGAAGAGCAGGCCATTGGCGCAATCCGAACTCTACAGAGTCAAAGAACTCCCCTGCCTCGAAAGAGGCAGCTGATGCACTCCTTGTTTGGGGACTACAGGGCCCAGATGGAGGCCGAGTGGCAAGAGTCCTTGCGGGCTCTCAGGGCTGGTGAGTATCTGGGAAGTGGTTAGTTCAGTATACTTAGTTCAAGGGGGTAGGGAGTAACTCTCTAGGGAGTGGAAAGGAGAACCCCAGAACATGCTGGGTGCAATGGTACAAGCATATAATCTCAGCTGCCTGGGAGGCTGAGGCAGGAGGATTTCAACTTGGTGAGACCCTGTTTCAAAATAAAAAAAAAATATTTAAAAAAATGGTTGGGATATGGCTTAGTAGTTGAGAGCCTCTGGATTT